CCACTGCAGCCACTTCCATGTCTAACGATGACTTTACCTGAACATAAATCTGAAAGTCCAGCGTTTAACCCTCTCACCCACCATCATGGTCTAATCGCTCATCTCGCCCTCAGCGTACACCCGTAACCTCTTCTTAGAACACATCCAGATCTCGAGATTTTGTGGCATGTACATTTCTCCTCATCACTGTTATCTTTATTCTTTCTTATTACCATCCTTCCACTAACTTTGAGGTTAGTTTGTCTTATTCTCGTTCCTGGAGATTAGTTGTTTGAGTTTTTGTTTTTTTTTTCATTCTAGATTGCAGGCATCTATCACTATAAACTTGCTTCTTAGAATTTCTTTTTGCTGCACTCATCCCATAAGTTTTAAAATGCTATGCTTCCATTTTATTTGTCTGAAGATATTTGAAGTTTTTCCTTCTAATTTCTTCTTTGATCCATTGCTTGTTCAGCAGCATGTTATTAAATTTCTATATGAATTTCTCCAACATTTCTCTTGTTCCTGATTTCTAGTTTCATACCCTCACGGTCAGAAAGGATACTTGATATTATTTCAGTCTTTTCAAATTCCTTGAGGCTTGTTTTGTGGCCTGACATGTAACTTACCCAGGAGAATATTCCACATGTACTTGAGAAGAATGTGCATTCTGTTGTTATTGGATAGAATGTTCTTATTGATCTGTTAGTCCATTTGGTCTAAAGTAGAGTACAACTCCATTGCCTCTTCACTGATTTTCTGCCTGGATAATCTGCCTTTTGTTGCAAGTGGACTATGTAGGTGCCCTATTATTATTGTAATTTTTCTCTCCCTTAGGGTCCATTAACAACTACTTTATACATTTATGTTTACAATTTATATTTGTAAATATTTACATTTATACTTATTATTTCTATTTATATTTACAAGTGTTATATCCTCTTGATGAGTTGACCCATTTATCATTATATGATGATCATCTTGTCTCTTTCTATGGTTTTTGACTTAAAGTCTGCTTAATCTGATGTAATTATAGCTGTTTCTGCTCTATTTTGGTTTCCATTTGTGTGAAATGTCTTTTTCCATCCCCTTAACCTTCTTCTTTTTTTAAAAAAAAATTATTTCTTTATTTGAAAGACAAGATACAGACAGACAGAGAGGGAGGGAGAAAGATCTTTCACACACTGGTTTACCCCTAAATGGCCACAATGGCCAAATCCAGGCCAGGCTAAAGCCAGGATCCAGGAGCTCATCTAAGTCTCCTATACTGGGGCAGAGGCCCAATTACTTGGGCTATGCTATGCTGCTTTCCCAAGTGCTTTAGCAGGGAGCTGGATTGGAAGTGGAGCAGCAGGGAATCGAACTGGTGTCCATAGGTAATGCTGGCGTCACAGGCAGCAGCTTAACCCCTGTACCACAACACCAACCCCAGCCCTTTACTTTCAATCTATGAGTCTCCTTAAAGGTGAAGTGACTTTGTTATAAGCAGCGTACCTTTTTCTTATCCATTCAGCCATCCTATGTTTTTTTATCTGGGGAATTTATTTACATTTAAGGTAATTTCCTTATAGTTGGCTGCCGGTGCTTTATTTTGTTCCTTTAGAGGTACCCTGTTTCACTGATAATTATTGACCCTTGTGGCCAAGTTTGTCTGCATAGTTGAAGAAGCAGGCATTTAATCCAGTCTTTATAGACTGCCTTCGGAAGGGAAAACCCTTTAACCATCCCATCCAGAGATTCTAGGAAAACCATCTCACATGGTTTGCAGGTGGTAGCTCACTGCTAGAATCCTTGGGTCAGCTGGCCTAGGGCCTGACCCACTGGAACAAACCTGGACCCTGGGTCCACTGGATCCTGGAGACCTTCAGTGCCATACTATAGCCAGGGTCTGTGAGGACTGGCCAAGCAGCTGAGTGTATGGATGCCAAGGTCTTTGAGGCCTGGTGAGGAGGCTGCGGGCATTTGGATCTGCTTTGTATTTGGGTGAGCCTACAGACAGAGTCTATCATGGTATGCCTGGGTTCTGGGTCCCTGAGGACATACCTGGCACTAGGTGAACACAGGCTTGGCCTGGAGATGAGTCTGTAGGACTGGCCTGCTGTTTGCAGCCATAAGGCCAGCATGGATCTGAGCTCCGTAGGGGTTGACCTAGTACTGGAGTCAGACTAGTAGCATATTCCTCAGGTGGTAGCCTGGAGTACCAGATTGCAAGGGCCAGTCTGGCACTGGAACACCTGTCACGCGGGGCTGTGTGAGCTAGCCTGGGTAGGCCCAGGGCCCGAGTCTGTGGGTGCTGGCCTGGAGCCTTGGTGGCAGCAGATCCTGTATTCATGGGGGCTAGCCTAAAGCTAAGGTGCACCTGGAGTCCAAGGCTGCAGATGCAAGGCTAGCCTTAGGGTGTGCTGGGCTCTCTGAGTCAGCAGGGGCTAGCCTGGTACTTGAGAGAGCCTGAAACTTCGTCCACAGGTCTCAGCCTGTCGTCTGTGGTTCCAGGGCCAGACTAGTACTGGAGCTGTCCTAGAGGCCAAGTTCTGTTGGGGGAAGGGGGAGGGAGATGGAGGCCTGGAGTCTGGGGCTGTGCAGGGTCGGTGGAGGACCTGGGCTCGTGAGCCTGGCTTGGCAGAGATGAGGGCTGGAGCCTCGGTCTACAGCTACTGGCAAAGAGTCTGGGGCCATAGGGACCTGTCTGGTACTGAATTTTGCTGTGAGAACACAGTGTTAGAGTCCACAGCGAAGTCCAGTTCTCACTTGATCTCCTTCCTCCACCTGGAGTGTGTCTCTCTCCAAACTGTGCTGCCTGGGGCTGGGGGAGAGTTGCCATTGGTACCATCAGAAGTCTTTCCTGCCATCCTTCATTCATCTGTCCTTGTTTCTCTGCCACACCCAGGTTCTGTGATCTCTATTACCATTTCCCTGCTCTTTGGAGATATTTCCGTGTGTGGGTAGGTGCTCAAATACACAAGGGACCTACTCTGCTAAGTCTTACTCTGACATCTTGCTGAAGTCATTCCTCTGTGCGTCTCCACATAAACACCTGGCACAGAGCGAGCACTTGATAAGTATTAGTTATAATCGGTAGCTATTGTTGAGTTGAATACATTTATATTGAGCACCTACTGTGTGCCAGGCACTTTACTAAGCAGTGAGGCTAAGCAACAAGTGGATAAGACAGACATGGTCTCTAATGACTTGGAGCTTATGATCTGAAGATATATTTAAAAACAATTACAAAAGATGTTGCTTTCATTTTTATTTCATTTTGTTTTAAAAGAGGAGCCACAGGACGCTTTTAGCAAGAATGGTTTGTGAGTCTGTGAGGTCATGAGAGGCTTCCCTAAAGAAGTGATATTTAAGCTTAGACTTGGAAGAAATAGGAATTAACCAGGCCAAAGCTCATGGTGTGTGTGTGTGTGTGTGTGTGTGTGCGCGCACGCACGCGTGCGTGCATGTGTGTGTATGTTGTCAGAAAATTGTGGAAAGAGAGTAAGAGAACATTTAAGGAAAGAAAGGGCCCTGTGGTGAGCAGACCTTTGGGTGTGAAGATGGTTAGGAGGCTGGCAGGCTGGTGTGCAGGCAGGGAGAGAGTAATCCAGAATAAGTGCAGTTTGTGTTTTATTTTAAGGCAGTGGGAAGGCTGTAAGTAGGGAAGGAACAGCGGTGAGGCTGCTCTTCCCTGTGAGGCGGGATGTTCTCCCCTGCAGCCCTGTCTTTGAAATAACTAGAAGCACGTCAGCCTTTCCCTCAGTCAGTACTAGCTGTGCATCCCCTGAGTGGCACAGACACCCACCTATCCACATCACTGCCAGAAGAGACAGGTGTCCCTTTCCCAGGCAAGAATCGCAACTCACATCTGGAAGCTCCCTGACAAGGAAGCTGACCTGCTGCCACTGGGTATTAGTCCATTTTCTGCTGCCAATAACACAATACCACTGGCTGGGTGAGTTATAAAAAGATAAGGTTTATTTTGGCTCTTGGCTCTGGAGATGCGAGATTGAGGGGCTTTGTCTGGCTGGCAGAGTATTCCAGGGCATCCCAGGGCGAGAGACAGGAGGTCAGAGTGTGTGTGGTGACGGAGGTGGGTGGTTGCCCTCCCTCTTCTTATAAAGCCCCAGGATTTGATCTTAGGTCTCCACCCTCAGGAACTTATCTAATCCTAATCACTTCCCACTGGCACCGCCTTAAACACCACAGTCATATTACATTTCTACCTCTTAATATCTCACAGTGAGAATTAAATTTCAACAGGTGACACCTTGGAGAACACATTTAAACCGTATCCAAACCATAGCACATCGATACCTGACAATAGCCAAATTGGCAGAAGATGTTTTCATTGAAAGTTTAATTTCTATTTTTTTTAAGATTTATTTGTTTATTTGAAAGTCAGAGTTACACAGAGAGAGGAGAGGCAGAAAGAGAGGTCTTCTATCTGCTGGTTCACTCCCCAGATGGCTGCAACAGCCGGAGCTGCACTGATCCAAAGCCAGGAGCCAAGAGCTTCTTCCAAGTCTCCCACGTGGGTGCAGGGGCCCAAGGCCTAGGGCCATCTTCTACTGCTTTTCTAGGCCACAGCAGAGAGCTGGATTGGAAGAGGAGCAGCCTGGACTAGGACTAGAGCCCATATGGGATGCCAGTGCTGCAGGTGGAGGATTAACCTACTGCGCCACGGCACCAGCCCTAGCATGTAGCATCTTAACTGCAACAACAAACTCCTGTTTCTAAAGCTTACTATATTCTAAACCTGCTTTATGCATTCTCACTGAAGCCTTGTAGCCAACTCCGGGTGGGGTATGATGAGCATCTGTATTTTCCAGGTTGGGAATCGGACTAACCACAGAGAGGTTATTGTGTGCTATCCTTGAAGTCACAGAACATGTATTTGAACTTCATCAATCCCACTCTAGCACTTTCACTTCACTCTTTTCTTCCACAGTTTTTCAAATAATTGCTTAATTTTGTTTTTATGCTGTTGTTTTTGTTTTGTGTCTTGTTTTTGGTAACACTTTGTTACTTTCTTTTAGACAAAAATTGATAAAAATTTCAGAACTGAATACTATGAAGAACAGATGCAGGCATTCAAAAGTATCATTGAAGAAGAGACATCAAATTTTAATGCAAATTTAGCTCTAAAATTTACACCCACTGAAGCAAAAGCAAATAAGACTGAAGAAGCTTCTCCAAAAGACAAGTCTTTGGATGATAATGATAAAGGTTTCTCGAGTAAATTTCGATTTTTGTATTCCAAAAATGAAACTTACCAACTATTCTTGTCATATTCTTCACAGAAGGTAAGACTGAGAGCATTTACTATAGAGAATATAAGGATAGGTTTCAAACTACCCAAGTTCCCTTTTTTAAGCCTAAGTATTTTGAGCAGATAGACATAATGAGAGAGAGAAAAAAATAAACTGACACATTCAAATCCTCAGGTAATTAGCTAGAATGTCAGGAAGAGGAATGCTGACGGGGGAACAATCTGATGGGATCTCGGGATCTTGGCTGATGGGATCAATCTGATGAGTCTGATGTTTGATGATATTGATCAAAGGATGTGGATTCAGAATTCAGAGCAAACTTTTTGATTGAGATTTTGGTAACATTCAATTTACATAATCACCACATTTGCAATAAAATACACAAGGAATTCTGCTCACTTATTGCAATGCCTTAGAAGAATGCATCTTTGTGCACTCCTGTGTGTATTTCTAAGTAATGTTGCCATGAAACTTTGTGCACTGCGTGTGGAATTGCCTACTTTGTGAGACACCCCTGAGATTTTGACAATGTGGGTTTTCTTAAAATACTTGAGCCAAATTTGAAGTTTATTTCATGGCCTTTGGAGTAAGAATAAAATATCCTTTATGTAATCAGAGTGATGTTGATCCAGTGTTCCTTCTTCCTTTCCTGGTGCCACAGCCATCTTCTTCCACATTAAAAATGATAATGATAATTCTAATATTCACATTATGCTTAATTTGGTAACTATTTTCTATGGTCTATTTATTGCTTCTATATTCAAATGCATACTCACCCAAAATGTATTATTGGAAAACACTTTAAACCATTCAACTAGAACTTATGTGCACCTACTACGTGACCTGTCCTGGGTGTTAGAGTACTTCTGTAAACCACACTGGCAGAGATTCTTGTCCTCATGGAGTTGAGAGCACACAGAGGGAGTTAAGTAAAAATGATAAATAGCAAAAAGAAAAACAAAAGGAGCTGCATGGTGTTTAGGAAATGATAAGTGCTACAGGATAAAAAGAAGAGTAGAGTAGCAGAAAGAAAACCAGGCATCCCTGACAGGTGACAGAATCAAAAAGAAAGCTCAAAAACTGTTGAAATACTTACTTAAGGTATACTAAGCTGATCTTCTGTATATTAAGATAATCGAAAATGAATCTTGATGTGAATGGAAGGGGAGAGGGAGTGGGAAAGGGGAGGGTTGTTGGTGGGAGGGACGGTATGGGGGGGGAAGCCATTGTAACCCATGAGTCGTACTTTGGAAATTTATATTCATTAAATAAAAGATAAAAAAAAAAAAAAAAAAGAAAGAAAGTTTGAGGTGCTTAGCTTATGAGAAGAAGTCTAATAGAGTAGAACTATTAATCACTTTAAACTTTTCCAAGATGAGTATGTGAAAAGAAATAACACTTTCATTGGTCGACAAAAAAAAAAAATAAAAAAAATAAAAAAAAATAAAATGTGATTGTTTTTGAAATGCTTTTAAGAATTTGGTTTAAAAATCGATTGACATGATGTGGTGTTTATACTAGGAAATAACTTGACCCAAAATACCTTCTGTGTTTGCTTAGGATATTTTCTTTGATATCTAAAAGTTGAGGTTTTTCTGTCTCAACTGTAAGCAAACATCCTAAATGTGTTAAAGCATATTCTCAGATACTCTATTTAAGTATCTTTTATGTCCTGAAAATCTGAAGATTAATCTGAACTGCCAGTTTTTAGATTTAGAATATTCAAGGAAAAAATAACTACTTTTAGAGCGATGTTTTCAATTTCATCAAGATTTTGGTGAGGAATAATACTATGTACTATAAACATTGAGAAAACTTTGAAAGTTCTTTTCTACCAGATATGAAATATTCAATTTCTAATTCCAACTCAGATGTGAAAGATCAGTATTTAACATTGGTTGTTTTGTGTTTTATAATATGTTCAAAATACAATTACAACATTTAGTATTAAAAAAAAAAAAAAAAAAAAAAAAAGCTCAAGGCTGGAGAGGAGAGCTGAGCAAGATTGGTGGGAGAGGAGGTCACCATCAGCAGTGATGTATCTGGCAGGTGCAGTTCAGTAGAGACAAGTCTCTAAGGTTGGAAATAACCTGATGTGACAACCCAGTCAAACTGAACCAGAAGAAGGAAGAAGCTTCCTTGAAGTCGATCAGGAAGGCCCTCAGAGTCCACTCTAACAGTGTGGTCTTTTCCCTGAGTGACAGGAGATGTTGCCATCACCAAGGGCTTTATGTAGGCTATTGACGTACCCCACAATGTGTAAAATGATCACTCTAGCTACTGTTTATCTTTTTTAAGATTTATTTTATTCATTTTAAAGATACAGTGACAGGAAGGGAGAGGGAGAAAGAGAGGGAGGGAGGTGAGAGGGAAAGAAAGAGAGAGAGCTTCCACCTGATGGTTCCTTCCCCAAATGGCTGCACCAGTTGGGGCTGGGCCAAGCCAAAGCTGGGAGCCAAGAACTCCACCTAGGTCTCCTACATGGCAGGGGCACAATTACTTGGATCATATGCTGCCTGCTCAGGTACACATTAGCAGGGAGCAGGATGGGAAGTGGAGCAGTCTGGACTCAAACCAGTGCTCCAATAAGGGATCTGACATTGAAGGAGGCAGCTTAACATACTGCACCACCATACCAGCCCTCTACATGCTGTTGAGAAGAGATTTTGAGTGCTAGGAGTAAAAGCAAGGAGGTCTATAAAAAACCTGTGCAATAACCCAGGTGCTAGATGGTGGTAGCTCAGAAAGAACATTTGTAAAGTCAAACAGGATACCAAGGTTTTGAACCTGAGCAATTAGAAGGGTTGAGTTGCTGATGGAGGAAATGTTGGGTAGAGGACACCTAGCGAGGAAGTAGTTAAATTTTAGTTAACTTTGAGATGTCTCTTGGACATTCACTTGGACATGAATGTATTCATACATAGTTTTGTTATAATAAGCATTTTCCATGAATCATTTATCAAGTTCTCTGTTGATGGGCATTTGAACTATCTCTAATTCCTAGCTAGTCATATTAACACTACTATGAAATTATTATACATGTGGACAGTTTTTCATTGGTTGTAGGTAAGTATGCTAAGAGTGGCATTGCTGATCATAGGGCAGATGTGTACTTATGAGAAACTGCCCGACAATTCGCCAAAGTGGCTGTATCAATTTATACTCCTACTAGCTATGGGCAAAAGTTCTGGATACCACAAATCCTCATTGATTTCTGGTACTGATAGTATTTTAAGTTTAGTCTTTAAATCAGTAGACTCAAGAAGGATCACACAGTCAATGCTACGAAAAGGTATTCCCTGTAGAAATTCTAGAGTTTCTGGCTGCTTCAATTTGAAATAATGAGGATAACATTCCTATTTTTCTTCTTCACCTGATCCACAACAAAGGAAAAAATGTTTCTGCTTGTGAAAGGAGTAATTCAACTGGGAAGATTTCTGATGAAAAATCGGGGTGTTATGCTGACAAATACCTTCTTGGATGATATAAAATCTCTGCCAACTACCTATGAAAAAGGAGAATATTTTGCATTTTTGGAAACCTATGGAACCCACTATAGTAGCTCTGGGTCTCTGGGAGGACGCTATGAGCTAATTTATGTTTTGGATAAAGCTTCCATGAAGGAGAAAGGTATGCCTAGAACTGGAGCTCTGACTTCAGTTTTGTTTTGATTAAACATGACTCCTTTTGCTAACCTCTTTCCATGGTTAAAGTCTATAGAATAAAGAATCTTGTAAGCTGCTGTTTTGAGAGAAAACTCTTCCTGCCCTTTCAGTCCTAAAATCCCATCAAATAGCAAACTGTCTTTCTCCTCGAATTAGTTGGTTTGGTCTCACACTACTCCACAGCATTATGGAGAGTTATGCAAAATTGCATTGCATGCTATGTGGTATTACTGCTTTGAGTACATTTTAAAAAAATATTTACTTATTTATTTATTTACTTATTTGAGAGGCGAGGATATGGAGAGATAGAAAGGGAGAGCACATGAGCGTACGCCCCTGTGTGCTAGTTACCTCCTTAAATGCCTACAGAAGTTAGTGGAGTAGGGGTGTGGGAGCAGATCCCGGTCTCCCATGTGGATGGTAAGAACACAACTACTTGACTCATCACTGATGCCTTCCAAGGCACACATTAGCTGGAGTCAGGAGCCAGAGGCAGGGATCAAATCCCAGCACTTGGCTATGGAATACAGGCAACCTAACAGCATTTCCACTGCTAGGTCAAATATCTACCTATTCCCAGTAAAATGTTTTTTTTTTAAAAGGTAAAAGAAAGTATAAGGAACATGATTTATATAACTTATTTTTTAATCATAGACTGGGTCAATTTATGTATAATGATTCTCTTCCCAATGTTGCTCTGTGTTTTCTCTTAGAAGGGAAATTAGAAGCCATGTTATCATATAAATCTCACATTTTACAACAAGGGCAGAAAATTACCTTGTATGGCAACAATTCTGATCACATTGTACAGAGGTGCTTGAATTGGGACCATGTTGACTAGGTTTGGGGCCATATTTGCAAACATGGGCAGAGGGCTGGGTTTGGTCATTAGTATCTACTGTAGATACAGGCAATGCCCGTGTGCTATAGTGTCACCATCCTGGCCTAAAGTGTTCACCTAGGCTTTTTAAAATAAAATATATGCAACGTGAGTTTGTTAATAAATTTTAGTCACTTATCATGAGTGATTATGGCTAATTTATAATATCACTAAGAAAGTGATATATTACCAGCATGTCCCCTCTCAGTCTCTACAGGGCGGAATGTCAAGGCGTCAGGTGTCATGTAAAGAATGAGATGTAATCTGACATTCCCCCACAGTCTTCTTGGCAGAAGACTTCCCAAGAGGTGTGAGTTTGAGGTCACTTGGTTTGCACTGTTTCAAAGACTGTATCCACAGCATAGTGAGGTCCATCTGAACCTCACCAGCTAGGATATAGGATATACTGGTGGAGATATCACACAGGGGAAGAGTACAGGAGGATTGTTTCTTGATTAACTAGAACATCAGAAGAAAAAAACTCAGTGAAGGTAATCAAAAGACCAGGAACTAAGAAGACCAGGCTAAGAATTTATGTGATGAAAAAATATCCATAAGCCAAGATTTTAAATTCTGGGCATTGTAGAACTTAGATAATTGCCTTCTAGCTATGATAGTCAATGATCATTAGGCCAATTCCAGGGTCTTCACAGAAGAAGCCATCTTTGTTTCAGTGCCTGAGGATCAAATCATGTCCTTTATCTCAGTTTGGGAAGTCTGGACTTGGAGATGTCGCTTGCTGATGCAGGACCCTAAGTCCCTTCAGGGCACCTAAGCATCTTTCACCTGCATTTTCTGAATCAGAATGCTCATGATTCTGAAAGATGGTTTGAAAATCTACAATTCTGAATTTGTGGCCCTTTATTTTTGTCCTTCTTCTCTCCATCCCACTGGAAATGCCACTAGCTAATTCCTAAGTTGTTACTAATTGTGGGTACATAAGGAACATTCATTGGATGAATGAATGCCCCTAGGTGTCTACTTCTAAAATTCATGGTTGAACCCTGTGATTAACTTAAGTTCTCCCTTTCCTTTTTCATAAAGCATTTGACTTTTTTTTCATAAAGCATTTTCCTGACTTCCAGGAAACATAATCACATGTGTGTGTGTGTGTGCGCGTGCACGCACGCGTGTGCAAAAATGAAAAATGTGAATAGAAACTGATATGGTCAATGTGTTGAGGTATGGACAATTTACCCTTAAGGTAAAGGAATCACTATCTTTTAAAAATTGAAGAATAGACACTAAGATGGATTTTGAGAAAATGCTGTTCTTCCCACACACCAAAATGAGTCAGCCTCCAAAACTGATGTCTACTAACTAGCATTTATAAAACCAAAAATAGGTTTCATGTGTACAAGTCATCTCTTCAAAGCATAGTGCTAGTTACCTTAATGATGAATTCAGTCTTCCAAAAGAGGATCAGGAGATGTTGATGCATTTATGATACAATTATGAAGTTGATACTCTCATAGGGAAATGCTTTATAGTCAGACAGCTGTGGGTTAAAATCCCAACTTGGCTTCTTATTAGGTAGATGCTGAGCTATCAATACGTTACTTACATACTCTGTGATTAGAAATCCTCATCTATAAAATTAGCATAATAATAGTTCTTATCTCTTAAGGACACGGTGAAGACTATTAGTTAATGTAGGGGTAGAGGCTGTGGCTCAGCAGACTAAACTGACACTTAGGAGCCCCACATCCCATATCAGAATGCTGGTTGGAGTTCTGGATCTTCCACTTCTCATCTAGCTCTCTAATCACTTGGGAAACAGCAGATGATGGCTCCGATATTTGAGTTCCTGCCACCCTTGTGGGAGGTCATATGGGAACCCTGAGCTCCTGGCTTCAACATGGCCCAGCCCCAGCTGTTTAGGGTATCTCCTTTTCAAATAAATAACAAATATTTTTTTCAAAGCAATTAGTGCAAACAAAATGCTTAGAATGATGTCAAGCATGTCATAAGCATTCACTACGTGTTAGATATCATTGCCCCGTTTTATGAGATTAAGGATAAAGGGATTCACTATAACTGCCCTTATCTGACCTATAACTCATCCTTTCTGGGAATTTAACATGTCCTGTGCCGTTAAGTTAATAGGCACAGTCAAAAAAGGTCACTGAACTCTAATATAAGGACAAAGCAAGATACATCTGATCTAGCATTTGAAGTCAATGATTATTTCTAGAAATCTCAGTAAGTTTCTTACTAAACAGCAAAATTAAAATTTATCTTCATTGATAGGCATTTTCTAATAATATCCAAATAAATATTTCAAACAGGGATTGAGCTGAATGACATAAAGAAATGCCTTGGGTTTGATTTAGATTTATCTCTGAATATCCCTGGAAAATCTGCTGGGCTTTCGCTCACAGGACAAGCAAATAAAAACAATTGCTTAAAGAGTGGTCATGGTAATGCTGGTAAGTACATCCTAACTTTTTGGATTACAAATGTTGGTGAGTAAAACCCTCTCACAATGAACCTGTCTTATTGTCTACCATCTTTATTTAGAAAAACTCAAAGTGCTTTAAAACTGTTTAATCTTTATAATTTTCTTTCCAAAATAACGTAGACACAAATAGCCAATGGACATATTTTCATCAGCATCACTGTTGTGTCAATTCTGCAGTGTACAACTCCAGGGGGCACCATTCACATTGGCCATTGTAGAGTTCTATTCCCAAGGGTAGAAATGCATCTGGTGGCAAAATTTGCTCTCTCCCTGACTAATTTTAATCAAAGTTGGATTGGTGGCAGTACTATGTACATCCATTGACTAATAGGAAGGCCCAAACTCTATCTCCAGTGAAGTCTTCCTCCTCACTTAAAATCCATCATCCATCCTTAGCATTAAATCAGTATAGAACTTTATCAAAAATATATTTTTAGTATAAGCATGTGGATGCTTCTAAAAGTTCATGTAAAATAGAATTAAAAGGTAAGCTTATTTTGGTGCAAAAAATTTTGAAATCCATGCATTGTCTTTTCATAATATGCATTTTTCATGAACTTTTAGAAGACCCTTCATATGCATTGATTCATCTTGAAATTCCTTGGCAGTTATAAAAATTCACAATTCTAAAAAGCACACAGCAGTTTGTTAAAAATGACATAACCTGGGGAAAGAGACATTGAATTTTGGGGTAGAAGGAAATTTTACTTTTCATATTATTCTTTTTGGGACATTGGTTTTTTTTATAATATCAAGTTGGTAAGCACGTCAATGCAAAATATAATTATGAATGTAAGTCTTTAATAAGAAAGTTATATGGTATACCCTGTCATGCTGAGTTCCCATGCATATATGGACTGTGAATTATCAATATATTTAAATATCTGTACCACTCTTATTTTTTAAAAGTCTATAATTACTAATAAAAGTTGTCCTTAGAAATTAGTGAAATGGACACTATGAGAAACAGTGACTTGATCAGCTCTTGTCCTGATGGTTGATGTACAATGTAATACTTTATCCATTTTAGTATTTTTTTTTTTGTTCTAGTGCCATTGGTTGAACTCTGTAATTAACACACAATTATTCTTAGGTGTTTAAATTTTAACTGAAAAGTGATCCCTGTTAGGAATTCGGAAAACATTATGTTGAGTGAAATAAGCCAATCCCAAAGGGACAAATACCACTTGTTCTCCCTCATAGGTGACAACTAACTGAGCACCAAAAAGGAAACCTGTTAAAGTGAAATGAACACTATGAGAAACGGTGATTTGATCAGCCCTCACCCTGACTGTTAATGAGCAGCTAATATGTTATCCCTCTTAGTATTTTTTTTTGTTTGTTCTACTTAATACTTTTGGTGTGAGAGTACTGTAATCAATACACAATTCTTCTTAAGTGCTGAAACTTAACTGAAAAGTGATCACTGTTAAATATAAGAGTGGGAATAAGAGAGGGAAGAGATGTGCAATTCGGGACATGCTCAAGCTGACTTACCTCAAACGGTAGAGTTAGAAACATACCAGGGGATTCAAATTCAATCCCATCGAGGTGGCATGTACCAATGCCATCTCACTAGTCCCAGTGATCAATTTCTGTTCACAATTGATCGTAATGATAGGACTAAGAACCAAAGGGATCACATAAACAAGAATAGTGTCTGCAAATACTAACCAATAGAACAAAAAAGGGAGAGAATGATCCAACATGGGAAGTGAGATACACAGCAGACCCATAGAATGGCAAATGTCCTAAACAGCACCCTGGCCTCAGAATCAGCCCTTAAGGCATGCAGATCCGGCTGAAATGCCCATGAGAGTATTTCAGGCATGGAAAGCCAAGACACTCTGGGGGAAAAAAAAACCTAAATGAAAGATCTCCACGAATGAGATCCCAGTGGAAAGAATGGGTCATCAAAGAAGGAGGTACCTTTCTCTGAAGGGAGGAGAGAACTTCCACTTTGACCATGGCCTTGTCTAAATATGATCAGAGTCAGTGAACTCAGGGGGCTTCCATAGCCTTGGCAGCTCATGACAAGAGCCTAGGGTGATTACTGATGCCATAAACAAGAGTGTCAATTTGTTAAGTCAACAACAGGAGTCACTGTGCACTTACTCTTCATGTAGGATCTTTGTCCTTAGTGTGCTGTACATTGAGATTTAGTGCTATAACTAGTACTCAAATAGTATTTTTCACTTTATGTTTCTGTGTGGGAGCAAACTGTTGAAATTTTTACTTAATGTATGCTAAACTGATCTTCTGTATATAAAGAGAATCGAAAATGAATCTTGATGTGAATGGAAGGGGAGAGGGAGTGGATAAGGGGAGGGTTGCGGGTTGGAGGGACCTTATGGGGGGAAGCCATTGTAATCCATATTCTGTACTTTGGAAATTTATATTCATTAAATAAAAGTTAAAAAAATAAAATAAAATAAAGGAAATTTGGGGCAAAAACATAACACAACTCCCAGTTACAATTAAAATTCAGTAAGTACACCAGACCATACCGAAAATGCTCAATGAATATGCACAGATATCATTCTTGGTGACTGATCACAGAACTACAAAGGCGTCTCTCTAAGTTCTCTTCTTCTTCTCAGTAAACATCACCAGGGCTAACCTCATAGATGATGTGATTTCACTCATAAGAGGAGGAACCCAAAAATTTGCGTTTGAATTGAAAGAAAAGCTTCTCACCAAAGCCAAGATGGTTGACGTGACGGACTTTATCAATTGGGCCTCTTCCTTAAGTGATGCTCCAGTGCTCATCAATCAAAAAGTAAGCAATGTCTATTTTCTTTACTTATGAGATAAAAATGAAAATCAGCTTTGTTTCCCAACATCTGCTCATTGTAGTTAATATCCAGCCACTTAGTCCATCCCTGAAGAACTGAGGCTCCCAGGTAGTTAAACTCTAGGAATACTGTCTTTTTCGCATGATTAACTGCAGAAAAATGAGTACACTTTAAGGATTTTTTAAGTAAGTCAGAAAAAGGAAATAAAGATTCGAAGGTGGATACATAACAAGCTCCCATTCAAATTCTCACCAATTTACCTTTCCCATTGGCAACAATGAGCAGGCACAGTGTCTTGGTGGGGAAAGATTCCCTGTTGATGTTTTCCCAAGGTTTTTCTGCAACCACATTGGCTGCCATCCTCAAAACACTGCTTTTAAGCAGCTGCCATTGGAATGACTATTTCCAAATAAAAGATTATATCATTTTCTCATTGAATGTCGTAATTGGCTCAGACGAGCAGGTGACTCTATCCAAGAGAGATGTGAGCTTGCAAAATGCACTCCTGTCTCATCTGTGGGAAGAGAGAGGTCACAGAAAGAAGGCACAGTGTGCTACCCAACAGCCCCAGCTGGGTTCCTCTCTCTGTTCCTCACTAGATGTCTGATGTTTCCTGACTACTAAAACTCAGAATTCCCCAGGTCTTTGTGTTCATCCCAAGGATTTAGTAAGATTTCTTGTACAGAGCCTCTAGCACAAACTGACCCAGAATAGGTGCCCAGGAATAGCCACTTGACCTCCATCTGCCCTTGGTGGCCCCTGGCCTTCATGTGGCACTAGGACCACTCCCAACACTGGAAAACTCTGATATAATTCTTAAGAAAGGACTATTCATGTGGTTTCCAGGAAACTAAGACCAAGGATGATTATAGTAGTGTTCAGCTTATAAACTCTTGGGGAGTTCACAGTTGATCGCTTATTCCTAGGGGAAAAAGGTAATATTGTAATTGTAAAGGTTTAAATGCCAGTGTTATTTATCCTCATCTTCCTTCACCCAAACAAACTAAAAACTGTTTTTCTTTGCTTCATTTGTTCCTGATCTTGTTAACATGTGGTTTTTCTACCTCCTTCTATAGCTTTCAGTGTTCCCTGGTATGTGTCAGTTATCTTCTCATAGGTCATATTTGTCTTGGACTGCCCCTTCAGTCAAATTCAAGTTTGTTGAACTGGAATCACAGAGTGTTGATATTTTTCATAGTACTAGTTACTGGAGAACTTTATTATTTTATTCTATTGTAATGTGTTTTAAGGGTGAGTGAAGCCACTGAAAAATATCTCATTTAGTTTGAGAAAAATCAGAAACAAAAATTAAGGGGATAGGACTCTGGCCTCCACCTGCAGTTCTGGCATCCCTTATGGGTGCTGGTCCTGGCTGCTCCACTTCTGATTCAGCTCTTTGCTAATGGCCTGGGAAAGCAGTGGAAGATGGATACAATTCTTGGGCCTCTGCAACCATGTGGAAGATCTGGAAGAAGCTCCAGGTTCCTGACTTCAGATTCGCCCACCTCCAGAGGTTGAAGTTGTTTGGGGAGTGAACCAGTGGACATAAGACCTCTCTCTCTGCCTCTGCCCCTATGACTCTGCCTTTCAAAGAAATAAATAAATCTTAAAAAAAAATTATAATCTAGTCTCTCATGAAGTTATAGAAATATAGGCATTCATATATAGGAAATTATTTCTATAACTTCAAATATTTTTAGTCCAAAAGCAAAACAAAGAGGAAAAAAATGCTGGCCATATTAGTATGACCAGATAGTAAATTAAACAGAAGATTCCCTTTTTAAATTTTACTAAATTTAAATCTATGTAAATTCATTGTCTTGAATTCAGTAAACTAAATCTGTTGGAATATTTAAATAATGGAAGAGTTGATAATTGAGGTGGTTGTGTACGTCAAGGTGAACATCTAAAGTAGCTTATGTGTTATCTATCAACCACGTTCAACTGGGTCCTTACACAGATCCAACATGGTTTTCTGAGGAGACCTTAATATAGTTCTAGAGCTAATTTTTATAAAACTTTTACTAATGATTACAAGTAGACCTACCAAAATATTAAAAAACCTTCCAAAACTATTTTGGCACAGCCCTGCTGGCTCGATGCAAAATATAACTTCTCCTATTTTTAGGGGACGTTGTTTGCTGCCCCAAATCTGTCGATTAGCATGAATTCCACCTACAATATCTGTGATATCTGTGTCCATTTCTTTTTTTCATAATTGGAAGCCTGGTCTTTAATGTCAATGATCTACCAAGAGAAACGTCAGCAAAAGTTAGTGCCCCATAGACTACTTTTTCAATTTGCCTTCTTATAGAGAAAGTTCCAAAAACAATAAATATTGTGGTTTTCATTGACTTTGCATGGCTTTTAAACCCCTGAGGAAACATAAGCTTTAGTTAGTTAAGGTTGACCTTGAAGTAGATTCCAAGTCATTTTGGGCTCGTAAAGCCCATCGAAGTGACCCTTTGCTTAACTGATAGCTATTTCCAAGCAGCAATTACATGATCTATAACCACTAATTCATGCTTTGCTAGGAGGAAGCATTCTGTTGTGTGGATGGCATGGTCAAACACTGGGGATGGCCTTCATGTTAAAGTAATTGCTGTCCTGTTTATTTAAAGAATTGGTAGAACCTTTTCCCACCTAACTCTACACTGGTTTATATTTAATCCTCTGCAGCAAATTAAATCAGCTATTTAGGTATTTGTAATGTAAATACTTTTATCTTGAAGGAAAGACCAGGAAGTTATACTGCCCTAAGTTAAGGCCTGTATGAATATATTAATGATATGTTCTAAGTAAATTACTTGGAGAATAATATATTCCAAACGAGACTAAGTATGTCCATTCTCTATGAAGCATCTGTGGCTTTGAATCTCCCCTTTTTTGGGTACTTTCAGCAGACCCAAAACACTTGTTGGGGAATGTCAGCCCAGCCCAAGATTTTTTCTTTTCTTTGGCTCTTCTCCATGCAAAGGACATAGGCTAGCTCCTTCTTAAAGTATTTACTCTTCTCATGGTCTTCAACTTTCATGAAAGTATGTGAATCTTACTGCTAGCTTGCCTGAATGTTAACACAAATGATTCTGCATTTTCTCTCAACACAAGAGCTGCACTTTCATTTTTTTCTGAGATGTAAGGCTACAAAGTAGTTATAAAAAAGTCAGCTGGGAGAAATTAAATCTGTTAAAGATGGCCTGGGAGATAGAAAGTTTATGATTTCCTCTAGAATGATAGCAGCAAGACAGATATAGCTACATTATAGCACACTGGCTTCCTGTAAAGTTTTGTTTTGGCACTATAAGAAACAAAGTTATGTAACCAATTGCTTTATTTCCTGAAAGGATGTTGCCTAATACACTGCTCCCTTTATAAGAACTCACAGGAAAAATTACTCTTTAATCTCATTTGTTCCTTTTGGAAATCAGGTGAGTTTTCTTCGATGCATGAAATCATTAAATTCAACTGTGTTATACACAGTTCTCTAGAAAAGATGGCCAAATTTGTGACCCATCCTGTGCAAATGGGGGGGATCCTTCTGGCATGAACTTTGCTTGTGTTGCCTTTGCCCCATCTTGCCTTTTCCACACTCAGTCCTTTTCCCATTCTCCCAGGCACTGTGTGTTAGGAAACATCAGCTCTTTCTGGAGTAACAGGGGGTAACAATGTTTAAATGTTGGTATTTTAAACGACTATAGTACCAGTCTGTGTTAGAATTGCTACAGCTGTGATAATACAGTGAGATTCTCTTGTATTGAGAAGAAAATAATAATTCTAATTCTCTTGTATTGAGAAGAAAATAATATTCATTGTATCAACAAACTACATTTGTTTTATGTGTAGAGTTTATTTTGAATGTCTATAAGAAATATAAATGTAGTTCACATGAAACACTGTTATCAGTTTATTTGTATTTTAGAAGCTTCATGATAGAATATATCCACTGAAAATATAACTACAAATCACAGAAAGGTTAAAGAGTTAATTTTTATGGGAGAAAAAGCAGTTGTGTTACTCAATTGAAAGCCAAAGATCATCAGAGAAAGGTGTGGCTCTTCAGGAAACTTCTTTGGTGGCATTTTTGAGGCTCCTCTGAAAAGGCTGCCAATGCAAATCCTTCATGTGTATCTCTTTGAACACTGTCATTTGTCCAGACTGTATTTCCTCCGTGCCTCTGTATTCTTGTATCTCAGATTATCTGGCCTTGGATTTCCTTTGAAGGGTAAAACAAGACAGATTTCTTTTCTCAAAAAATCAAAATAACTATCCCCCATGTTTATGTTGTTTGTGCCAATGTGGCAGAGTTGGTAAGAGGTTTCTTTCTTTCGGATAAATATGTCATAGTTGAAATCTGAATCCTGTATACTAATTCATGAAAAATTATACCCATAGACAATTGTAGAAGTTTGTTTTATTTTCTGGGTACGAGCCTATTTTAACTCAAGTGTTGCGAATATATTCTTGTACTTAAAGATTTTTACCCTCTTAATGACATTTTCATGAAAGATTCATCTTGTGTATTTTTTATTTTGAAATAACTTGAGACACAGTAAAATTGCATGACTGGTATAGACAGTAATATTGCAAAACTAGCAGAGAATTCACATGTATGCTTCACCCAATAATTCCTAATCAAAATCATAAAAATAGCACTGCCTACTCAGCTGAACAGTGGCCCTCCCTCAAATTCCGCAGGTTTTCCCTTACTGTCTGTTTTCCTGTTCCAGGATCTGACCCAAGGCTGCAGGTGCATTTAGTTGTCTGTTATCTTTCACCTCCTCCAGTCTATGGCCGTGCCTCAGACTTTCCTCATCTCTCATGACCTTGACACCCTTGACGAGGACCTGTCAGTCTCCCAACTTAGGTTTTAAGTAGAATGAGGTTATACATTTTTTGGCAATAATACCACATAAGTGCTCTTAGGTATTTCTTGGTGTGTGTTGTGTGAGTTGTGATGTTGATGGCTTCTTACTTTAACATTCTC